GATTTTTTACTTAACACATGCGATGCAATGTTTTAATCAATAAATAACTCAAGTAAACTAATGTTAATATGCATCAAAATCACAATCTCTCAACTCTCAAGTAGCAATTCATTTGACTTTATTTCTTGGCAATTGAAGAACAAGTTTGGTGAATGCTTCAATAAATAAGCCTTATACGAATCTCACTTTCAATCGAAGTCATACCATTATAGGGGCAAAATCAAGTAATCCAAAACTCCTAGTGTGGTTAGGTAGGGCTTTCACTTTATTATTATTATTATTTTTTAATGAATCCAAAGTTTTATTATTTGTTGGGAGTTCCTCCAACCCCTAACAAATAGGATTGGTTATATATTACATGAACCGATAATTTGATATATCCAAATCTTCGAGAATAGGCACAATACCGTAAGTGAACTTTAAAACTCAAGTTTATTTTTTTCTTTTTTTGGCCAAAAGAAACTCTAAACTTACATATTTCACTTCCCCTCTCTTGCTATTATTAGGTGTGTGCTAAAAAATCCATAACAGAAAAAATCTAAAAATTGATAAAATTGTAATTAACGGGTAGGGTTTGATTGGGTTTTGGATTTGTTTAACTAAAAATTGAACCAAACTAATTTTTTAAATTGTTTGAGTTTTGATCACTAAATCTAAAAACCAAAAAACCGATGATTAAGGTGAATATAATTCAAAAATCCAAACTAAAAACCTTTTATATAAAATTTTTAATCATTTCTAGATTTCTTTAAGGTTTTCTAACTATTTTTCACCAAATTATTTATTTAATTGGATAATTTTTAATTTTTTAGTAATTGAAATTAATAAAATAATAATTAAGAAATTTAAAAAATACTAAAAAATATAAAAATAATTTTTTTATTAAAACCAAATTACTCTAAAAAAATGCAATCAAAACTGATAAAACTCATTTTTTATGATTTAATTAATAATTGTTCAAATTTAAAATCCAAAACCCCAATTAACTAGTAATTCTATTTCGATTACAACCAAAATTGATCCCTACCAACCCCTCGTTATGAGAAACCTTAGAACTTTGTAAGTTTCGTCTTGACTATCCACACCTAAACCTATAGGACAAAACTGGCTTCTTTGAAGGCTGCTGCTCCCAATTTCTCTGCAATTTTCTTCAAAAAAAAAAAAAAAAAAAAGTACCAACTCAGAGTTGGTAACAGCACCTAACTAATTTAAAAAGATCAATTTCGACCAAGTCTTACATTTCTCTTTCAAGTATTTATCAACCATCCAATTAAAAATATATAAGAGACATTAGCAATAAAAATAAAATTAATCTTTGTGATTTTCAAAGGAGATTAAACCTAAATGGGTGCAATTAATGTACCCTTAGATAAACCCTTCTCCAAAATATGCTAGATCCTCTTTCTCCAAGGTATCCCACGTCAATGAAACCCAGTTATTTCATTAGTTGGATTTTCACCATTCTGGTTTGTGATTATGATGCTGAAAACGCAGAATGCTTTAGAATTCCCAGGGGAAGAGGACGATGAGCCAATGTTTGCTCTTTTACTGACGAGCAGAGTAATTTCTTTACAAAATCAGAGGCAAAGAGAAAGTAAGGCAACAGTTCTTCTCTCTGCTTTTTTGTTCTACTGCAGCTTTGGGGTGACCTGTACATTTATGAATCAATGACACTGAAGCATGGTTCATTTCGCGGCAAAGTGGAATGTCATTCTCTCTTCCAATGAATATTTAGTGTTTATGAGAAGTTAGCACGTACATATTTAGAGATGTTAAACTACAACAGTTTTAGACAAACTTTTGAAGAAGATGAGCAAGTGAAGATCTATAACCTCCACCAAGATAACCTATAAAATAAGTTTACCGAATGAACTGCAATGCTTCCCCTCCACTCATCATTGCACTGTCTACTAGTACAGATCGATAGATTTTCTCAGCCAGCTGCTAGGATAAACCATTTATGGCTTAAAAGAAAGTTTGTTCAGTGCAGCACTTATACGCTGCTCTGAAATCATTTATGGCTTTAAAGAAAGTTTGCTCAGTGCAGCACTTATACGCTGCTCTGGAATCATGGTGTGGTTTTCGTAAAAATCTAAGATCTCCATTGAGATATTTTTCACCTGCCATAATCAAAAGGAAAGTTCAAGATGTTGATAAAATTTAGCACTTTAATGCATATGTAAATGATGATAACTAAATATTGATCTTGATGGAATTTCAAAGACATCCACTTGGCTTCATAAGAACATGCAACACCCGAGAGTAATGGAATGATGCCAAGAAAAAAGAAAAAAGAAAAAATGTTTCCAACAAAAACATTCCTGATCAGATTTTTGTCCTTTCGGTTTCTTGAAAAGCCAAACATTCAGAGAGTGCAGAAAAAGAGGGGAATGAGAAAGCAGCATTGTGTTGTGAATTCTGCTTAAAAGGCTTACCACATTCATGTCAACACGAAGCTCTTCAAACCACGAGGTGATATCTTTCTCCTTGGATACGCAAGCAATATATATGCATGCCAAAGCAATCAAATGTGGAGGATGTACAAGAATAAGGTCCATCTTGTAGGTGTCATTTACAATACCCCTGTGTTTCAAAATATCAAGATTTCAGCATAACCATGTTCATTTAATTAAAACTTCGAGAGAAAAAGTGCTTACATCTAAGATTGTCAAAACTATGGAGTCTAAAACAAGAACCTGATATTTGTTTTTAGTAAGTACATGGAGACTAGGGATTGAACCCTAAACCTATGGCTAAGAGCACAAAAAACTCTACTGCCAGACCACATGGCTTATGGTAGAACCTGATATTTGTGGAATGAAAAAATTGTTTTTCTTTTTCCACTCATTATTTCATTCATTTGTAGCAGACACATGGCTAACTTCACAGGATTCAGATAAAGATGATTTTCCCTTTTTTGGTTAATACATAAAGAGGATATTTTCTTTGCAAAGACATCTTCATATATTTAATCTTTTCACTTTCACTCTCTTACAATCCCTACAACTATACGGAAGAACTTCAAAACACCAATACCTGATTCTGTCTCAGCTACACTCACATATGAGCATAGTCAAACACTGCCAAAGTCTATTTTATCTGATTGTAAACCAAATCACCAATGTACCATACCATATATCTCCAGATAACAGACATTTTAAACACAAGCAAAGCCCTCCAGGCACATCCTAACTCATGTCCACATAAAAATGTTGATCTAATAAGCTTTATTTCATTGGCACAGTGTTCAACCATATTGCTTTAAAAAATTATGGTTATAATGTACCATTGAAATAGTGCAATTCTGGCTAGTCTAACAGCAGAATAATGATAGGACAGAAGCCTTACGAGCACTGGAAGACTAAAGCCTGTACAAACAGCATTTCAATGATGCTGGAGTTTCAATTCTTACCAAGATAATTGAGTCATATTTATATCATTTATACCAGCATCCTGCAACAGCCTGCAGTGGTGACAGTCAAGAAACACCATTTAGAAAGGTTTAACAAACAAAAACCAGCTTTAAAGTACAGAAAGAACAGCATTAGCAATTCAGTGTCATGGAATCTTAAGTATCATAGCTGTGGCGATTTTCATGATTCAAAAGGAAAAAAGTGTGATTTTACAGAATTAGTGGAAGTGAATAGAAAGCATAGTCAGACACATAATGAAAAGTGCTATACATGATGATCTTTCATTCACAAGCACACACACAATCTACTAAACCCAAAACATGCCATCATAAAAATATATACCAACTATAAAATAAATTTAAAGATGAATTACCTTTAATGTTTAATGTAAAAAATGACTAAAACTTACAGATAGAAGCTGACCATAGAAAAATAATATCATAGGAATTCCTAGATGATAACCTAATTTGAACACATGCCGACCTATGACTATGGACCTAGAAATTACAAATACCTAAGTTAAAGGTACCAAAAGTTAGCGAAGAAAAAAGTTAAAGGTGCCAAAAGGATATTAAAATTGAGCATAGATTGATGACAAAAGAAAAGGAAATGTAAAAGGTTTGAAGCTTATGAAATGGATAAATTTTTTAATCTGCTTCCAGATGTACAAGTCAAATTCCCTATAAAACCCTTGCTTTTAGTACTCATCATTTTATCAAAGAAATTGCAAATCCATGATAAAAGATTAATTGCACAACTAAAGGATGAACAGAACAGTGGATGCATAAAAAACAAAACTGGCAAGAAGATAGACTTACTGAGCTAATGTGCGATAAGGATGGAACACAACTAGGTAATAGTCAAGAGCTTCTAAAATCTTCATTTCCATTTCAAGTATATCTTTGACTTCATATCTATACTTCTCATACTTCTCCTCATTATCTGTAGAGCAAAGTGGCAAGTTATCAGAAAACAATAATTTTTTTTTTTTTTTTTTTTTTTTTTTTTTTTTGGAAACTCAGTGGGCCAATCAACAAAATTCAGGAACAAGTAATTACACATTTTCTTGCTGTAAAACACAAGAACTTTAGTTTGCACGGTGCTTTCTTCTGCCTTTGATGCCAAGAACAAGCACGTGGGAGCAACAAGACGTGGATCATATTCTGTCATACTTTTTCTGAAGGAATAAGAAGTTATGTTCAGTGGGTGATAATGTTTCAGCATAATTTAGGTTTAGCATATCACTATTCATCTCCCAAACATAATATGCCTCATGATCATGACCATGTACAAATACACAAAATAAAGTTGTAAACTTGTAATACTTTCCACAGAAAGATATAGTACTAGTACTGAACCTGTTTAGACATGATGAGGATCAATTTCCAAAATTATTTAGTTCGCCTAGGTAAAATAACTTAGCGAGATCAACTATAATCATTCCATTTGGAATAAATTTATGAATATGAGTAAGTAACACATCACTGAAGAGGGCCCAAGGTCTAATTTATTCAGACAAGACCAAGGAAAACAAAAGCTGTGAGCTGAGTGATGTATTTGTAAGATTTTGCAAGATAGAACCAGTGAGTGTGAAAATCAAGAATTTCATAGCCTGATGAAAAACCAATGAAAAATAATTAGAAGCCATAGGCTACAGTCATTTTGTTAATTGAAAGTACCATCTGCTTTTAACAAATCATAATTCATAAATGAAGTAAAATTAAATATACATGGTATATTCATCAAAAAAAAAAAAAACCTGGTATAAACACGTCTCATATATGTAACTGCAGTTGCAACAACCCTGAAAGATCAAACACATCTCAAAGGTAACAATAAAAGGAAAATATATAATGAATTCACAAATGATTGCACAGTCCAGAATTACATCTATTACGTTCGCTCATGAATGCATGAAACATCTCTCAAACTCAAAGATATGAACAATGTTGAAGTTACTTAAAAACTTATAGAAGCAGTATCATATTCTCAGAATCTTTTATTTAACCTCAGTGTTATTTATATATATAAGATGTAGTTGTACATTGTGTCATAAAAACATGTAAGAGAAGCAAAATGGGTCTGAAGTTTGCAAATGAGACCATTATTCAAGCAGAAGTAATCTAAATCATCAGCAGTTCATAAAAATCACTGTTTTGTTTCCAACAAGGCACTAAATGAGGTTTGATAAATCTAAGAAAATAAACCTATTAAAGTGGCATATCATGTTCAAAGATATATGATGTTCACAATTTCTCAATGTTTAACCAGTGAGTCATTCTCTGGTTAGCAGCCTCTAATCCCCAGTTACACAAACAATCATAAAAGTTGTAACCAACTTCTTTTCCATGGAACCATGAAAAGGTAACATATAGACCATGCTGATTGATGGTACCTTAGAATTCAGGGTCAGCAATTACAAAGTTATTGGACACAGACAAAGGCAACACAATGAGTTATATTATATAATTAGGCAACAATCACACACCATCATGCATGTGGAATTGTGGATGAATCTTAAATGAAGCAAGTCAGTACAGAAAACCAAATCTATTTAATATATTGAGAAAGGAAATGGAAAGATCAAACTCCAATGATGTACATAAATGAAATTAACAATTTAGAAGTAAAAGGAAAAGGGTTTTCCATAAAAAATAGGATACAAGATCAAACCTTTGCCTCACTTTCACATGTTGGGCCAGTCTCTGTATGTCTAAAAGCAGAAAAAAAGAAACACAAATCAATAGATGAATATAAGTTTGAGTTATACACCAGTGGTAATAAATTAAAAGGTGGTTGCAACTTAAACAAGTTGTAGCCTTTTGGCACACATGAAACTTTACATAAAGCCCTTATTCACTCTTAAATCCTAATTACATAACAACAATCCAGCTAGAATAAGCCATGAAACAAATTCTTTGCTTATGAACAAAATTTATTGACAAACTTCAGAAACATGCTGAAACTAAATTTACTAAACATGATAAATAATGTAAAAACGGAGGGATTTCCAATTTTTGAAAGCTCCCTACAGCTCTGCTTAGCCCGATATTATGACTACTTGTGATGAAATTCCAATCTCACAGCTCAAATGCATAAGACGAACTCTCAAAAACCGGAAATTCTAGCAGGAAGTAATGATTATAGCAAGACCAAGAAATTTCAGAACCAGTTTGAACACTGAGCATTCCAGGGTGGAAAAATCTAAATACTGAACATCAAGAACGAAACTTTTCAATGAAAAATAAAAAAACCCAGATGACATAATTTCATATGGAATCTAAAATTTAAGAAACCAAGTAGAATCCAAATTCAATTTGTACCCATTTCAAATTTAAAGAGAAAAACACAGAGAAGAGAATATACAATTAGCCATGTGCATCTTAATAATCTTGAAATCTTCAAGAGTGATGCCCTTCTCTTTGTCCTGTGGACGCACAAC